GGGGGGGGGGGGGGAGGTCCGATCTCTTAGGTTAGAGAGAGAGGCGCTGCTTTGGTTATTTTCGATGGGAAGGAGGGGTCTGATTGTTGTCTTCTTTAGGGTTTTGAAAAGAGGTGTTTTAATGAGAGGGGGGAGTATTGGGCCAGCGGGTCGGACATAGTATTGGGGTTGGGATGGATGTTTAAAGCAAATTAGATTTTGGGCTTCAAAATAAGCTGGCCCAAACGAAATTAAAAGACCAAATTTACTTCTTTTTTCTTTGTTTTTCTTTTAATTTTAAATTCTAACAAATTAAATCCTAAATTAAAACCTAACTTAAATCTAGTTAGCAAAATTAAATCTATTTATCTATTAGCAAATGCATGTAATATTTTAAAAATATTTTATTTGATTTTTATGTATTAATTCTAACAATTAAAGAGTAGTAATTCCTAATGTGCAAATTAAACCTAAGATGGCATGAAATCAAAATGTGGCAATTTTTTATGATTTTTCTATGATTTTAAGATATAAAATACAACAAAATAAAGAAAAACTCCTAAAATCCATTAAAATATTTTTAGGAGTTATTTTCATGCGGGACAAAAATTAGGTGCTCACAGCTGTCCCTCTTTGCTCGGAAACACGAAGAGTTTTTGGGCAGAGATAAAGTGAGCAATTATGAGCAATTTTTGCATGTTTGACACTCCATGGGAAGCTTCTTTTTTTCGAAAAAATCTAACCGAACCTTGCTTCGGAGGTTGCCTACATATCCTTGACTATAAAAGAATCAGGTCAGTGTAGTTCAGAAAGTTTTGGTAGCTGGAACTACCGATTAGCTGTGATTTCACTATTGTTGCTGCTATTTCTACTTGCTGAGCTCTTTATTACACCAAAATCAAAATTAAAGCTAAACTAAGCCTATCAGCTATGAGTTACAAGATTCCTATCTATAAATCTTCTGAAGCTTGATCTTCAGTCCTGGCTGGTTCTTCATGTGGACTCTGATCTGAATCTTGATGCTTGTTAGCTGCCGGTGCTGGTTCATTCTTTTTCAGCTTCTCGGATCAAGGCGGGACATGCAAAACTTGTGACTTCAATCATGTCTTGAGCAGTCTACATCTTTGCTCTGCTTCTGCACTTTAAGTTCACTTCTTTTTCTTTTTCTTCATTTTCTTTTATTCAGGACTGAGACTTCTTCTTTTAGTCATCTCGAACCCTGTGCCTCGCGGTATAACCTGTTCAAGCACCAAAAGAAACGAACGAAATTTTTCTACCTCAATTTTCACTAGGAAAATTTTGTGAGTTATTTGTAACCAAAACTCTATACTACTTCATTATTGAAAGCAATAAAAGTCGGGGTTGTGTATCCTTGGGAAAAAGAGATTAGGGAGTGGTGACTCTATATTTAGAATAAAATCAACTAAGGATTGGAGACCCTATTATTGGAAAATCATCAACTAGGGAGTGGTGACCCTATGTTGGCATCATGTTATGCTGGCATTAACTAGGGAGTGGAAACCCTATATTGACATCAACTATGAGTGGTGACTCTATGTTGGCATCAGGTTATGTTGGCATCAGGTTATGCTGACATCAACTAGGGAGTGGAGACTCTATGTTGGCATCAACTAGAGAGTGGTGACCATATGTTGGCATCAGGTTATGCTGGCATAAACTAGGGAGTGGAGACCCTATGTTGGCATTAACTAGGGAGTGATGACCCTATGTTGGCATCATATTATGCTGGCATCAGGTTATACTAGCATCAACTAGGGAGTGGTGACCCTACGTTGGCATCAACTAGGGAGTGGTGACCCTACGTTGGCATCAACTAGGGAGTGGAGACCCTATGTTGTAAAATCATCAGGTTATGCTGGCATCAATTAGGGAGTGGAGACCCTATGTTGGAAAATCATCAGGTTATGATGGCATCAACTAGGGAGTGTAGACCTTATATTAAATCATCAGGTTATGCTGGCATCAACTAGGGAATAGAGACCCTATGTTGGAAAATCATCAGGTTATGCTGGCATCAACTAGGGAATGGAGATCCTATGTTGGAAAATCATCAAC